ATCCCCTGTGACCAATACCTCTGATTGTTAAATCTCCCAATGTTGGCCTTCTGACAGAATTCTAGGTTGGTGCTCCAAAAAGTTATCTTCCAGCATTTGCACCAAAAGGAACTTTCCTAAGCCCTGAGCTAGGGGGGAAAATGAAAGTAATAAATGAATAAGGATGGGCACAGTCACACAATGAAGCCTTTGATGCTGATTTTGCCTCTTTTTGGACCTTTTTTTCTTGCCCTTGCCATGAAAAAGATATTATAAGGAGCCCATTAAGAAAACAACCTAAGTGTTTGAAACACATACCAGTATTTTAACACCATCCCTGCACTATCAAAGATGCAGCTGTGTTTCAAAGACTCCCCCAGCCTTTGGAACTCCCTCCCACTGGAAGGCAGATTTGCCCCACCAATAAGTATTTATTTGTTAATACCGCCCATGGGGGGGGATATTTAACCCTTGTAGTTCAGGAGCAGTTGTTTTTTTCTAAACTAAAACCTCAGCATTCAGGTTTTAATTGCAGCATTGGCACTTTGAAATAAATAAGTTGATTTTGTGTTGCAGTTTGGGCACTCGAGCTCAAAAAGGTTCACCATCACTGCACTAGGTTGAAAATGCAGCTTCTCCCAGCATATTCCCTTTCTTCCTTATCTACTTTAGGACACATTTTTGTTATGCAGCCAAAAATGACCTAATTGCATGATTAAACAAAGCAATCACGTAATAAGCCAAAATAGTTCAAACCTGAGACCTCTAGTAAGAGAGAAATAAAAGATGTAGGAACACCCTCTAAAGGGAAGATGGAGAACGACAGCACAGTGCTTACGTGTGGACTAGAGATGTGCCAGTTTGTAGTTTTGAACTGCAACATCCCGAATGCCCTATAGGCAGCATAGGTATGCTATGCAGAGAACTTTGAGAGTTGTAGTTCAAAACAGTACAGCTCTAGTGTGAACATTTTGTCACTGAAAACTAGACAACTATTATAATGAGGGTTTGTTCTTTTTTTAACTGTACATTCACAGACCACAAACAAATGTGGAAATAACAGACGCCATGTTAGAAGTCATTGAAGAATTGTGACAACATTATGATGTGTGACTTAAGCTATGCTCGCTGAGATATTCTGGAAGCTGTGGTCCAAAAATCATAACTTTTGTCACTTCTGGGTCAAGGCAAGGACACACTGGAAATATCCTGTTAAAGTGTTCTAGTTGGGAAGGCTAACACAATGAGCACACATAGTGTGTTCAAAAAGAAGGGATGAGTGGGTGGCAATTTCATTTCTTAATCTGACATGACCACCAATGTCCTGACAGGTCCTGGTAAGATTTATATAATGGCTGTAAAATATTTTTTTGGTTTAATCATAAGAAGCTCTCCTCTTTCTTGTCCAGTTAGCATAGTAGAATCTTGTTGAACTGACAGTAACAAGGTATTCAGGAAGATTGTTCACATCATCTTTTGCTGGTCTGGGGACAGAGCCTGGGGGCACCTGCAGAGTACACTTTCTAAAAAATGGTGGCTCTTTCTTTAATCAAACCAGAGAAAAGACAGAATGAAGTCAATGTTGTTGGTTACCTGTTGGTTGTTAGGGAAATGAAAGATAATATGGTAGGTGGAGAAGAAGGTCAGTTAGGGCCAGCCATTAAGTAGGGGAAAGTTATATGAAGTTTTGGAAATATGAGAACTGGAACTTTAATTCAGTAGCATTGTTCATCTGCAGTATTTGGAACCTGTTTTTTGAAAAATCAACCTGATCTCTTGTTTCAGAAAAAAAGCTAAGGAGTGCACAGTTTTCAGGCAGAAGCCAGGCTGACAGGGCTTGAACAATGTCCTAGCTCAAATAAACACTCTGTTTTACAGTGTGAAGCATTAGTGTCCTTGATGAGGGATGAATAAAAAAAAATAGTGTAGGAGAAAAGTATCTTTCGCTCAGAATCTGCAGCCACATAGTATGTGCCAGGCATCCCTGGGCAATAAATAAATAAATAAATAAATCCAATAGCTCAGAATCTGCAGCCACATAGTAAGTGCCAGGCATCCCCGGGCAATAAATAAATAAATCCAATAGCAAGAAGAAAACAGGCATATATCCCAAAATTATCACCCCAGAGTTAATATTTGAAGAATGAGTGACCAATTTTTTTCCATCTCCTACCTCTGTTGATTTTGTTTCTTCACTATTAGAGCTGTGATTCCCAACCTTGGTTCCCCATATATTTTTAAATTAAAACTCCCAGAAGCCTTCACCACTAGCTGTACAAGCCAGGATTGATGGCAGTTGTAGTCCAAGAACATCTGGGGATCCAAAGCTGGGAACCACTGTGCTAGATTTACACATACTAATAATCTCTCTGTGTGTGTGTGTGTCTCTCCTTCCATCCCTCTCTCCCTCTCTCTCTCAAAATCAAATAATTGAGTTCAAATACTGTGGTAAACCCAGCATCCAATCTTGTCTCCTGTGAGACCACCAAGGCCCATGCCTGCAGGAGAAAAAAAGATGTCAACATTCTCCCCAATGGCTCATTCAACAAGAGGTCTAATAGCCATGTTGTTGTTCTACTGTTCCTTCTCTTGGTTAGGGTGGGAGGCCAAGGGCTGTTTTCACTCCAGATCTCACTTTTAATTTGGGGGAGAAAGGTTATTCTGGTCCATATTAGGTATAAATTAATTAATAGTTGTGCAAACTGTTGTGGGGAAGAATTGCAGGCCACACCAGGAACCTCCATGGATCATAAGTGGTATGGAGGTCACACAATTTTCATCCCTGTTTTGAAAGACTTCCCTTCTTTGTTCTAACTCAGACATAACTCCTTAAGAAAGAGGACAAGTGGCTTGAAATTAGGTCATGGAGTCCATCCTCCAAAGTTTTGAGGTCTTTAAAATGAAGAAGGTCAGTCTTGTTTTTCACATGAATACGGCCTTCTTCTTGACCGTGCTGTGGCTGAGCTGTCTTTTTGACTGAGGAGTGACTCTGTCAGGCTCTGTACCAATGCTCAAGACACTAGGGAGACAAGAGCTGGCAGTTTTATAAGAGGTAGCCATGTACATCTATGCTAGCATGTTAGGCAAAAACAAAACAAAAAATAAAAAAAATTAAGGAGACAAAAAAGTTGCGGCACCTCAAGACTAACTGCTTCCTGAGATCATCTATGCTAGCATGTTAGTCAAAAACAAAACAAAAAATAAAAAAAATTAAGGAGACAAAAAAGTTGTGGCACCTCAAGACTAACTGCTTCCTGAGAGACCAGCAGGTTGTTCTGATCTGGATGTCAGAAATGTAGCCTCATGCAAGTTAAAAGTAATTCTTGCCCTGTAAAAGTTTTCTACTTAGCCCTTTTTATTTATGGCTGTTTTAACCCATGCATTAAGCTCTACATTTACATTTGTGCTTTTTAAATTCATGCATTAAACTCTACATCTACATTTTTGTGTGCATATTTAAAAAAATTAGCTAAATGTGTTTGTGCGAAAGAGATGGTCTCCTACGATTGTTCTCTTTAATCTATGCCTTGCATCTTTTGAAAATGAGTTTGAGTGACTTGAAGGATCTGTTAGGAGAATTTAGGAGGGTTCTGACCTCAGTCCAATACCAGGATTAGGGCTGGTTTGATGGAACTCTTGGCAGAATGCCCTCCAGTGTTTCTTTCTTCTGGGAGTGGGCTTCCCTGGGCTGTGGACTTAGCTGCCCATTGTGATGGAGAACAGGAGCTATGGGTCTGTATCTGAAATTCCTTGCAATTTCTCCCAAATGTAGCCTCATTCTGTGCCAATGTAGCAAATATAAAATAGCTTTTCAACCCAGCTACTGTATTCAATGTACATTTACACCTGTAGGTCCTGCGCTGACCTTGGGATTTTCAGTAGCTATTCAAGGCAGGTGCCTAGGACTGATGCCTGTGCTGTCTGACGGGCCAATTCTACACTGAAATCCAGCCAGTCCTTCTGGCAGAAACAAAATAGATATCTATAGGGATTTAGCCTTATTTACCAACAAAAGCATTTTTAACAGCTTGCTAGGCTCTCTGCTTGGGATAACAAACAGAACTTCCAATGACCAACCAAGACACAGTTGTTGTTTGCATCAGGCAGAAGCATAATTTATTTAATAAAGTCCAATTTTCAGCAGAATATCCAAGCCCAAGCTCACAAGACCAGCTAGCTAATGTATACGGCAGTGGCAACACCCTACATTTATCGAAGTAAATATGGAGGTGAGGCTGGAAGAACCTCAGTTATATATATTGGTGTCCATATATTTGATAGTTTGAAGGAAGATTCTTTTTGCTTACTGTAAAGAACCCCAAAACTTTAGAGGACAGCGTTGTGCAAATATATCTGCAGATGATGCTATTTTCCTTCACAGTCTATCAGTGTCACCCTGGAGGAAGAAAAAGAAAAGAGAAAAGAACTTCAGCTATGGAAAAAGAAATCCTGTTGCTTAGCAAAGTGTAAGTCATACAAGAACAGGTCCATGAAGTCAGTGGGGAATCAGCTCTTCCATCAGTTCCATTGATTCAGAATTTCAGCCAATATTTCCTACTATTTGCAATGTATTCCTTTAACACTGGAAGTACTAAAAGGTTCATCTGTGGGAGAATTTGGGAGAAAGGGAGATACGCTCTGTAACAGCCTGCAAATGGCCAACTGTGATGGCTTTTTCGGAATGTGAGTGCCCTTCTTTGTGTTGAAAGACCATATCAACATGGGGAAGGGTTTGGGAGCATGGGAGTATCAAGGCTGGGGTTTGGTCCTGGCCCTATCTATGCCCCAAAGCATATGGAAGATGAGAAAACACTGACAGAAGAAGCCTTCATGGATTGAGTTCCATGGGGCTTTATTTGAGGTAAATGTATATAGAATTATTGCATTCACACAAAAGAAGATGTACCATTAAAAAGAATATTCATCAAGAAATCCTTTACAGTGGCCAGAGTCATACTCATGTTCACATACGGTTTGCTGAACTCGCTGTTGTGAATTGTTTCTAATTGATGAGATGCCAGTTGTGTGCTCAGTCACATATCTAATTGTTTCACTGAGATGAATTACTTAGTTGTGATTAGCTGTGACATGTCATGCATTATCTAGTGCTAATGCTAATTGGATTCTGGCCAGTAGGTGGCAAATCTATTGATTAAATAAAAAGGCAGCAAGAATGAAAAACTGATATGAGGCAATGAGAATTAAGATGCACATAAACATACGATGAAAATCATAAGGGGGTGGAGTCCATAGATGTGAAAGAAAAAGTGGCCAAGACAGGGAAAGAAGCTGACCTCTCTTGGCTGCTTGAGCATCCACAGGTATGGCAACCTTCCTGGTATTCAGAGATCATTCTTTCATTTTTCAGGAATCTTCCCTGAGGTAGAGCAATTTTCTAGAAGGAAAGCGTGCTTTTCTTAAAATGATACATGGTTCGCGACTTAATCCAGGAACATGAGCCTCTTCCCTTACCTTTTAAGGCAACCATGGGACCCGGAAGACGAAGTGGGCATGTGAGAGACTCTGGCCACACCTCCTCCTGAAGTAGCACTGTTCTCACCACTGTTGGACAGAGGGGGAAAGGGTAATGGAGGATGCTAAAAAAGGGAAGCTGGAAATAACCATTCATGCATGCTTTTATACACATGTATATATGTTACCTATGCATTCCTTCATTCACCTTCTGCTTTCACAAAGCGGATTCATTTTCATAAAGCAGCTCACAAAATATAAAACCCATATAAAGGTACAGAAATAGTATTGTTCAAATTGAAGAGATTGAGCCACATTTGAGATGGGTGAGGGTAGAATGCATGTGCAAATAGCCCACAGACACAAGAAAGGCCCATTTGGGAAAAAAATCTTGTTTAAAACTTTATTAAGTGCATGTATAGTACGATGTCTAAGTTGCAAAGCCACTGAAGATGTTATAGGTTGTGGTGACACCAAAGGGGGCCACCACATGTGAAATCATTTTCTATTCTAAGCAGTGTGCACATGCGCAGGGCCTCATCTTCATCATGTACAGTCTTTTTTATATATCTTAAGATGAGCCTTTACTTGATCATTCCAAAGGCCCATCTAGTCTAGTGTTCTGTTTACACACTAGTCAATCGGTTGACAACCAGAAGCCCATAGAGACACGACATGAATGCTCAACACACACCCTCCCACTTCTGCTCCTAAGCAAATAGAGATGTTGTTTGTGCTGTTGGAGAAAATATATTGTATACCCTTCATGATAACAGACATGAATTTATCTTTTATCTTCTAAAGCTGTCCAGATAGGCAGATATCATCACTTACTGTGGGAGAGAATTCCATACTTTAGGCATTCTGCGATGATATACTCTATTTTAAATCCATCTGCATCTCACAACGCTAAACTTCAGTGGACGAACAAAAGTTCTACTATAATGAGATAAGAGTTTTTCCCTATCCACTTGCCCTAGGTCATGTATAATTTCATATATCTTTGTCATTTCTCCTGTTATTTGCATTTTTTCCTGAGCTAAACAAGCCCAGATACTGTCATCTTTCCTCACAGGGGATTTGCTCTAACCTCTTGATCATTCTGATTGCCCTTTTGTTCACTTTTTGTACATCTGAAATGTTTATTTTTTAAAATTGTAGTGACTAGAAGGCTACATAGTATACCATAGTGAGCTGTGGTACCAGGTGGAAATTGATGGAGAAATCCACCAATTTCTCACATAGAAAAATGAATTTTCTCCCTCACCTCTACTGCTTGCCCTAGGATTTGTCACCACAATGGAAAATCATAGGAATTCAGCTGTCACCCTGAGACCTGGCAACCCTCATCAATATGAGCCTAAAATCTGCAAGCATGAGCTAAAGGCAATATTCTTGGTAGAGAACTAAAACAAAAAAGTATAAAGAGAGAGGCCTAGTCTTACAAGAGCAATAGAAGATCAAGGATATAGTGTTGTTCTCATAAACTGTAGCAGTATCTTTTCTGGAAAAGAACATGTATGCCCAAAGTCCTAGAATAGGACACAAACCTGTAAAGCAGTATTTTGGATCTGAAGGCTGAGGTATGACATTAATAGTAAAAAATGAAGAAAAAAAAGGAAATGATATAATTGCCAAAACTGACAGAATGCCATTCCAGTTCTGATGAGGAAAGATCACTTACAAATGCCAATGAATGTAGTGTGATCTGAAGGAGAAATAGACTCCATTTTGCAATGCTTGTGGTACAGTCCAGTGTGAGCTCTTTCCCAATGATCACAGAATGCACAGGAGATTGTGAATCAACCTGACTCTGCTCCATGCCCAAGTTGGACCTTTTTGGTCCAGTGGCAGAGCTTCCCCTTTTTGGAGGGGCAGGCTGGAGTGATCCCTGTAGCGATGGGAGAGTTGCTTTAAGGGAGATTACCCCCAGCAAAGCAACCCTTGCCAGCACAGTCAGACACAATCCTTTCTTTCTGTCTGATCACATCCTTGGTGAATTAAATATTTGCTAATATTAACATCAGCTCTGAGCAAAACAACTCTATAGATCAGGGGTCTCAAACATGCAGCCTGGGGGCCATTTGCGGCCCCCCAGATGATAGTTTGTGGCCCTCGCCTTGCCTGCCCCCCAAAGCGCTCACACATCCTCTGCTGTCAAGAGTTAAAAAAAAGCCTTGCCTCGCTCGCCGGCTCTCTCCCAAGACAGCACCTCTTGCACCCTCCATCCAGAACTGCAGCCTGCCGGCCAGCCCACCTGTCTGTCGGCTAAGGAAACTCCTAGGCGGCTTCCTTGGGCTCTTGCTCCTCTTGGCGGAAAATCGGATGCGGCCCAGCCTCACCTAGACTCTGTCTCTAGCAGCCCCCAGGGAAATTGAGTTTAAAACCCCTGCTATAGATACTCCCTAAAAACATGGGATCATAAACATTGATTAGGGAGCATGGGGAGGATCTACTTACGCAATATCATGGTGTACTCCCTCGAGCAGACAGCGGTAGGTATGGATCTCCTGTTCCAAGTGAGACTTGACATCCAGGAGATGTTTGTATTCTTGGTTTTGGCTCTCTATCTCTGTCCTCAGCTCTCCCAGCTGCTTTTCCACACAGGAGATTTTCTCCTGTATTTCAGCCAAGTTTTTGCTATAGCGACATTCGGTCTCAGCCAAGGAGTTCTGCAAGGTGTCCCTCTGCAAGAATAATTTGTAAAGATCTAGAAAAGAGACTCCAAGTTTTAAAGAATACAATCTGCAGATTGTATCACACTGGGTCCACTACAAAGGAAGCCAGATCTAACCAAGTAGATGGTGAGCAACTAGAACAGAATGAAACTTTACCACTAGTTTATGTTATATATGCAGAGTGGAATGGACATTCAATGGATTAAAGTTCATGAAATCTCAGGTCATAAATTGGTCAGTCTTTAGCATGTGACTAGAAATGGGCATGAATCGGAAAAACAGCAGTTTGTTTTGATTCATGATTTGTCAAGGTTGAAGAATCATGAAAAACCAATTCATGTGTTTTTTTTTCCTGACCAAACAAGGAATTGATTTGTCATTTTTGCCTTTGAAACCCTATAAAACATCCTCAGCACCTAGAGACACCAAACTCACAGAGAGGTTTTCCCTACCTCTCCTCTACAAGCCCTCCAAGATTGGTGAAGTTGTTTTTTAAATTTGTGCCCATCTCTCCATGTGACTATTTTGCCTTGTTTTTATTCCACCCAGACATCCTAGTCATGACTGCATGTAATTCTACAGAACATGTTTGGTTCTTTTTCTTGCTCTCCCTATGACTGTCCTTCATCACTGATGACTTCTGAGGATACATTTCAGCTCTACATCATCATTTCCTCCTCATCTTCCATATTTTTCTTTTTTGTGCCTTTGGCAGGCCATGTGGGCTATACCAGGCCAGCCAATAAGAACTGAAAAGTGATTTTGTTAAAAAAGCTAAAAATGCTTAGAGTCCTCTATATATACTGGGCACCTGTCGTCCTAGCAACATCCCATTTCCTGAGATTGTAGAGCCAAACACTGAGTCCAGCAAACAAACCCTTGTGATGTCATGGATGGGTATATGTTATATCATTGGAACAGGTAGTTGGAATGAGATGGAGCTGGACAGGTAAGTGTTGTGGGGAGGGCAAGACTGTTTCTTGACTAGCTGATTTTGGAAATGGGCATAAGAAATGTGGGCTCCAAATCGGAGTAAAACCTAGCTAACTAAATAATATGGCATTCCAAACCTAGGGAACAAAAAACATTTGGCAGCCACTAGGCAGATGGCAAATGCAGCAGTTTATATTGCTGCTGCTAGAGTCTGCATCTTGTGCTGCCTTAGCTACAGCTACATGCCACATCAGGAATTCTTGCAAGTCATGTGCTTTTACCAGGAGTGAAGGTTCACCACCAACCCATGGGCCATTTTTCTTCATGACCTTGTTGGAAAACTACCAAGATTGGCTCTTTATAGCTGTGATATATGGATCATGGGTTATATGAGACAGTCTTAGGAAAACTATAGAATTGTCAAATGTGTTGCGTTCAAGTTGTGTGGTTACTGAATCACAGCCTTACCAAGTCAATCTGAGCCTGCAGTTCAATTCCCAGTGTTTGCATCTTGCTTTTCAGGTCAGCTAGTTTGTTCTTACAATCTTCCTCCTCTTTGCTGCTGTTACAGGCCTCCCGATGCATTTCCTCCTTCTGAAGGAAAAGACCACATGTCTTAACCACAGCCTTCACAGAAGAATAAGATGTATTGTCTTACAATGTGCATTCTCTTTTGTGTCTGTTTCTAGTAATGAACTCTCTCTCTCGCTCTCTCTCTCTCCCCCTCCCTCCCTCCCTCCCTGGGAGAGAAGTTTGTTGGATTTGTATTTCCATGTGGAGAGATTATAACACTAAAACCGCCAAGGAAATGGAACACATCTTCCCCTGGAAATCTGTACATTTACAGTTACTGTGCTATGTTTGCAGGGAGAAAGAGAAATGTTTTGTAAAATGTGTACCAAAAACACACACCACATTTTAAAAATGTACCAAATGTGCAACCTGAGGAAATAAAGATCTTGTGATGCAGTAGAGATGGGTGGAAACAGATGATCATTGATAAGTCAGAAATTCTTAGGCAGCAGGGATGATTTTCATGCTCCTGACTAATTAAATTAATAATTTATCCTTTCCCTTTGAGTTCAAGTGTTATACGTGGATCTCCTCTTCACTGTTTTATGCACACAATCTCCCTCTAAGGTAGGTAAGGTGGAGTAAGAGTGACAAGGTTGTATACCGAGGGAGTGATTGTACATGGACATATATTGCAATTTAGACAGCTCACAGAGTGCTCTGTCGTGATCTGTTTCCATGATGCACGAGGAAATGCACTCCACCTCGACCCTCATCCAAGCCCAAGCTGGACTCTTTTAGTATAGCTGTAGGGCTTCTACTTTTAAGGACAGAGATGGAGCAACTCCTCAGCAGACATGCTTTTGCAGCTGTCTGATCACACCTTGAGTTATGACAGTCATCTGGGAGCTCCTTAAATCTACAACTTACGAATGAATGAATTACACAATAGCTGACAGCATATATAACAAAGTACCTACCTTACATTCATACCACTGCACAACCTCGCTGCGGTTGCTCTCAATAATGGCTTCATACTCTCTTCTCAGATCTTCCAAGACCTTCTTCAGGTCTGGTCCTGGGGCAGAACTGACTTCCACACTAACATCTCCATTGGGTTTGTTCTTCTTCAGACTCTTTACTTCCTGCAAGGGAAATGCTATTTTACGTTTTTATGGGACCACTGTTATACCAGAAGGAAGAGATGTTCTTTTGTCAGTGCTATTCTATTAGGAGTGAAAGGGAGGAGCCCACCTTTGAAAGGCTCTTCCCTTGGTATGGGTCTTGTAGGGAAAGGGGAGGGAAGCCTCACCTCCTCATGGTTCTTCCTGAGGCTGCACACCTCTTCCTGGAGAGACTCAAGTTCTGTCTCCAGGTCAGACCTACAAAGAGTCAGTTGATCCAGGACTTGCCGTAAACCATTAATATCAGCTTCCACATTTTGGCACAGGGCAAGCTCAGTCTCATATCTGCACCACAAGGAAGAAGAACAATGAATCCTTTTTAATAATAGAGACCACCGAAGGGTGCATGTATAGATGCTTAAGAATAGAGGAGAGCCTAAAGAAAAAAATTCACCATCACCGCCACTCACCACCACCACCATATAATTCAAGAAGGACTTACTTCAATTTGAAATCATCTGCTGTAATCCGGTTATTATCAATATCCAAGGTCAATTTGCTGTTATCCACAGTGGCACAAATAATCTTCAGCAAAGGAGGTGGAATAATAAAGTTCAGATTTAAAAAAACACAGCAAAGCTCAGATGGCCATTTATACCCTACCTGTATAACAAAACCTCCATCTTCTCCGCATCTCATCTCCTGCTTAAAGCCTTGTTTATGTTGCTTTTAGCACTGCAGTGATGGGCAGCAATACATAAATAAGTAAGTAAATATCAATTTGTTCACTTATTTAGTTGCTGCATCCATCCACATGCTCATCTTAAGATGACACAACATTCTTTGATTTTTGGAAGAAAAGAAAACATATTCCCAAGCTATTCATTTCTCTCTCTCTCTCTCTCTCTCTCTCTCTCTCTCTCTCTCTCTCTGTGTGTGTGTGTGTGTGTGTGTGTGTGTGTGTTTCATTCATTGTCACCTTAAAGGCAGGCATGTTACATTTGAAATTAAACTTCTGTAGACTGTAGCCCAATGCTGCAAATGCATCTGATGAATGGGACTACAGTCAATGAATGAATGAATGAATGAATCTGTTTTCTTTAAGGTTTCTCAAGATTTTATTTTATTGCTGGATAAAATGAGGTCTATTGCTGAATAATTATTGCTACCTCTCTGAGGCTTTCTAAACCCTTTCTTAGATTTTCTTTTACATATATTATTCTTTGTATAGGATATCATTGTTTTTGTTTTCTAACTTCGCAACACCTTTTCCTTCTGTATTTCACTCAAGAACCGAAAAAAATGTGTGAGTATGTATAACCTTCTGTTCAAATTCACCTACTAGGTCTCCCCAACCCCTGTTCCTTGTCATCTCCTGATAAGATCAACCAGTGCAGATAATATGGCACAGACACCTGCAGAGGCCATAATTATTGACCAAGGAGGATAGAACTCCAGAGTCATTCTTCCCCGCCCCCAACAAACACTAAATGGAAAAATCCAAAGAAGAATGTCTACACTGAATTTCAGAGCACAGAACCCTACTTTGATAACCAGATTCTATGTAGTAGTAGATGAACAGTTTTCTCACCTGGTTTTTCAGGTCTTCAATTTGTTGGTGGTAACAACTATAATCCTTTTCGTCATTGTGTGATCCTTGCTGATCATACCACTCCCTAATTTTATGCTCAAGTTGATTGTTTTCTTCCTCCAGGGATCGTACTTTGTCCAGGTAGGAGGCCAGACGGTCATTGAGATTCTGCATGGTCAGCTTCTCATTACAAGAGAGCAAGGCCACTTCATTGCAGATGCCAAATCCACTACCAAGACCACCACCAATGGGCCCAAAATGGACACTGCTACTACCAAACCCAACAGCAGGAGCACATACATAGCTACTGCTTGTGGTACCAAAGCTACCACCAGTGCTACTTCCTCCACTCAGGCCCACACCATAACTTCTTACACCACAGTGGCTCCTAGCAGACATGCCACTACTTCGGTCAGAAGAGGCATGTTTTCCAGAGACTCCTGGAGTCACCCTTGTTCCCTCATCAGCAGTACCATAGCTGCTGCTGCTGCTGCTTCTCCCTATGGGGCACCCTGCTGCAGGAATATGTCTGGAGCTGAAACTCATATTGAAAGAAACTTAGAACCAAGACTGAGGAGGAAGAGAGAATAAAAAAGCCAGAGACACAGGAAAGAATAGAAGGGAGATTATGGTACCCATGCAGATCTGCTTTTTTATATCTTCTGCTATGTGGGTGTTGTCTTCAGGATGTCTTCCTTCTTTCCCACAGGGCTGCTCCATCTGACTGGCTCCACCAAGAAAACAGTGTCTAAGGCAAACTCCCCAAAATCTCAATTACATGAGGAAGACATATTACACCGTCAGCTCTTGCCTTCCAAAATGCAGCACTGTCCCAGAGATGATCAGCTAGCCCTTGCCCCAGATTAACATCTTTCGAAGATAGCTTGACAAAAGAGCCCTGCCCTAAAATATATGCAGAGGATAAATATTTATAGAGTATTGCAACTGATTCTACTTCCTCCATTAACACTACCATAATTAGATTCCCACTATCATAATTAGATTAAATAAAATCATAATTAGATTTTATTTTAACTATAGTTACGATTATAATTTTTCTTTTTCAAAGCTGACTGGCTCCATGAAGACACACTTTGTGCAGGAGGCAAAAGCAAAACAAAATAACCAAACAATGTGTGATTATTGGTTTTTGAAGTCCTCCTGAAGTTTGCCTGCAAAGGGAAGAAAACAAGCGCAGATGGTATGTGGAGAGAAAAGCAGCTGGAGAATAAAGAGAAAGAAAATTTCAGTTCTTAAGAGAAAACAGCAGTCCATAAGAGAAAAAGTTGGTGGCTGAATAGCTCAGTGGTTTAGGTGTCTGGCAGCAGTTCAGTGTTCAATTCCCCACTACGCCTCCTGTGAATAGAATCAACCTGTGTGGCCTTGGGCACGATCCCAGGATGTCTCCAGAAAAAGGGAATTGTATACCACTTTTGAGTACTTTCTACCTGGAAATCCCAGGAAGAGAGTCACCATGTCAGAATTGATGGCACATGATTATGTTGATAAAAGAAAAAGAGAAGCAGGGTAAGTGGGAGGATGAAAGAAGGGGAAGACTACCTGGGCCAGTGGGGGTACAGGTGAGAGAAAGATAAAGTGCACTAAGGTATGTAGGGGGAAAGAACACCAGGGCGCTTTGGTTGCAAGATGTGGCTTTTAGCCTTTAAAAAAAAACTCAGATTCCAGGAAGCTGAAGTCTGAGAGTTCTTCAAGCAAGAACATCATTTCAGTTTAAGTCTCCCTATACGACTGATCAGCATTTGCTGTTGCTTAAAGGACAAAAATCAAACAACTTGGTATTTTCTGTTGCTTACCGTCCAGGACTTGTTGTCATTGGGAATAGATGGATATGGAATGAATTGGGGCAGGTTTGCAATGAAAGGAAAGGGCGGCTGAAATCTCTGCCCTCATACGCAATTTTCTTTCTTGTATCATAGGAAGAAGCTCCGTGAAACGATTCCCCTCCTCTTGACCCAGTTTTGTAAACCTCCCTTCCCAAATTGTCAGACACACATATTTATCACCACCTTTGGCTGGTCTTTGGTAATTTTCCCTTAAAACACAACAGCTAGTTTTGCAGTGCTTGAAAGACTAACAAATTTCATTTACCATACAGCTTTCATGGATTGTAGCCCATTTGTTGCATCTGGGGGAAAAAGTGGCCTTCAGTCCATGAAACCTTTTGTTTAGACTTTTGTTATTCTAAAAAACTAGGGAGATATTTTCTCCTTCCAAGGGTATAAAAGGGCAGTGTGTCAACTTGTGTATGGGGTACAGCTCTGCACATACACAAGACTTCCACCACCTTGAAGAAATCGAGTCCAAATTCTTGCAATCCATTTTTTATGTCCCATACTGCATCCCTGATGCCCTGCTTAGAATAGAATCTGGAATCATTGCACCTGATACAAAAAAAAAATTAATCCCTAGATTAAGTTAAACTTTAATCCACTTGGATTAGCTTCCTTGTTCTAACCTATAAACTATAAAGCCCTAAACAGCTTGTGTCCAAGCTATCTCAAAGATTGTATCTCCCACTATGAGCCTGCCCAGGTGCTAAGATCATCCTGAGAGGCCTTTCTTTTGGCCCCACCACCTTCACAGGTGCTGGCGATACAGGAGGGGGCCTTCTCTATTGCTGTTTCCAGACATTGGAACTCCCTCCCACAGGATATTAGCTCCATCATTGCTGGCTTTCTGCAAGAAGCTTCAGGCAAGCTTTCCCACAGAGTCTGGTTGTCTGAGTGGGATTTTTAGATGGATTGCTATGCCTTACTGCTCTGAATGTGTTTTTCATATTGCTTTTGCTTACCATTTCTCTGAGTGATATCTGTTTGACTCTTTTTAGTATTTGCATACTTGTTGTTTTAGCTTTAAATATTGTCTTTTAATGACGCAAGCCACCTTTGTATGCTCACTGGTTTTAGCATAAATATTGTATTTTCACGATGTAAGCCACCCTGAGTCCTTTATAAAGAGAAAGGTGGGACAAAAATATTTTAAATAAATAAATAAATAAGCGGATAACCGCCCTACAAGGTAGGTTAGAGATCTTCAGCAGAAGCTATTAACATATGGATTTATTCCCCCATAGTTCTGTTGCAGCTTGAGTTCTTAAAAGACGAAGAAACCCTTCAGGTAGATCAAACCCAGATGTCACATTGTTTGACAGCCACAAAACACAGCTAAATCCTTGCCCATACAGAATAACTTTACAGCCTAGAACAGTGATGGTGAACCTATGGCATGTGTGCCACAGCTAGCACACAAAGCCCTTTCTTCTGGCACGCCAGCCATAGGTCACTACTCCCCCCGCCCTCCCTGCACAGCCAGACCTCATGAGGCAGCTGCACCTGGGATTCCCCCTTCCGCCGCCACTTTCGGGTCCTCTGGGTCTGCCGGCATGATTCCCCCTTAAACTGCCACTTCTGGTTCCGGTCTTCTGGATCCAGGTTTGGGTACATCACTGCCACTAGCGTGGTGGTGGCACGCTGCCCCCCGTTCCCCCCCATTTTGGGCATGTGAGCCCAAAAAGGTTCGCCACCCCTGGCCTAGAATGTAGGAAGAGATTTAATATAGAATTTAGTAAGATATTTAATGTAGAGATTTCATCCTAGCATGTTTCAATGAATTACCATCAATGCTACTGAAAGGAAGATACGTGTGTATATTCACAATGCTTATGGTCCACGAATCGGACATGACTAAAACTATGGCACATACTTTATCATACTGTTTATTTTATATTTTATAAGGGACCTGATGCTTAATTCCCAATTTTAAAAAAATCCAGGCAGATCTCATATGTTTTATATCACTCCTTCCTCTCTGCTCAAGCAAAATCAGAGCTAAGGTGGCAAAATTCTGTGCAACAGCTTCTTTAACCAGAAAGCAATTGATAAACCACTCGACTAATTGTACTGAAAATGATGCACAGCTTTAAAGGGGGCCCACATTTTTCTTTGTACATAATTTTCCTGTGGATATCTCGTATTTGTAGATGATCCCAACTTCTCTTGTTTGTTTTGTTTTTTAATGTCTGGCCAATTGTCATAAAAATAAATGATGACGATGAGTTGGCCTGATGCTCCAGCATAGCCCTTCAGAGGAATCCTGTTTTGATCCTTATTCAAAATGTAGCATTGCTATGCGGCACTAATGAGGAGAAATGAAACTGTGTCAGCAGAAGAAAAATAGGTTGCTGCGATGCACATATTTCATATGATGAAAAGTCAGCAACATGGCGACAATGCCAAACAAGAGATGGTGATCAGTGCTGAGGTGCAGAATGTTCTCCCTTGGGGAGAGTCCCTCTTTGGGAAGAATCAAAACTTGCTGATCTTCATCCATGTTTTATTTTCTCCACCATGGTACGAGAGTGACTTGAAGTTTTGTCTATGATTGGTATTTATAGTACCAAAGAACAGTTCTTCTTCACCTCAGTCAAATCTTGATCAAGGGCCTCTCGAGGTATGTGAGGGCCTTTGGGACAATGTCTCCCCAATGCACCCTTTTTATTGAGGTAACTGCCCAGTTGTGGTAGCAGTAGTAGGTGTCTATGAACTCCCTTTCTAAATCTCCCTAATTCCCCATAATAAGCATGGTATCCATCTTGCATTGCATGTAGAGATGGACACAAACCAGGAAAACAGCAGTTCATGGTGGTTTGTGATTCATTGCTATTGAATTCATGGCTTGTGGTTCACAAACCATGAACCACAAGCCATGAAATTTTCCAACAAAACAAACCATTTCATGGTTCATGTGATTCGGGACTTCTAGGAGCTGCAGAATGGACCCTGAAAGACTTA